GGAAGGAAGGAAGGAAGGAAGGAAGGAAGGAAGGAAGGAAGGAAGGAAGGAAGGACAGGAAAACTTAAAAAACAAACTTTAAGAAGAATTCAGAATCTAAACCAAAAAAAAAAAAACACACAAAAAACCATAGATGAAAGATTCTAGGATGCATAGCAAGAAACCTGGATGATGGCTAACTAAATATTGAATAAACCCAGGCCAAGTAAGATATAACTTTACAAATATTTAACAGTGGCAAACTCCAATGTCTTTCCTTTCCTTTCCAAAGCTCACTATAAAAATAAATGCAATTATAAATAAACCCTGATTAAACCCTTTAAAAGTGAGGAAAGTTTCATGTTTTCCAAATGCATTAGATCACAGCTGTTTCTGACACTCTTTAAGACTTAAATGCTTACACAAATATAAGTAAAAAAGAAATCTAATGAGCAGGTCTGTGCAAATGCAAAGTGATGCCTAGCTTTTAGCTGTTGTGGAGCTATTCCAAAACAATGTCTTTGTTGGACTCTAACATACTTGTACATTTGTGTAGAAGGCAGTTTTCTTGAAGCCAAGTGGACAGGTAAAGCGAACCTTGCTTTTCTATGCCAAGCATTGTTTTAGCAACTAAGCTCAAGATAGCCCCAGAAAGCAAAATGCTACAATTTGACACAACCCTGATACTATTTTTCTGTTAGCAAAATACTTACCGAGTTTATCAATCTGCATGCAATGAGTTAAAGTCAACGGGTTATAGCTAGCAGCCCTCCAATAGAGTATGCTATGTTGGTTTGTTCAAGATAAAGAATTCACTTTCTACACACTGCTGTGGATGCTCCCAAATAATATGAATTATGTCAACAAAGATTGCAAAAAGCCTGGGAAAATCAAAGAGAACTCGTTGTTCTGCTTTGCAGAACTGATTTGCAATTCAATGGTTTTATGGGTTTTCCAATTCGATGGTTATATGGGACTAACAGATGTTCAAATGAAGTGAATTGGATGACCTAATCTTGAACATTAGTATTATTTTCAGTGGGATAAAACAGAGCCAGCCTTTATTGGATCTGTCCATGATAAATTTATGTAAAGCTGTACTTATGTGCAATGGTTTATGTTCCCAGTGTCATTTGTGTTTGCAAGGAAGCTTGCCAGATCAAATGCTTTAGAAAGGCAGAATTTTGAAAACTGTTTAACAGTGGTACATTTAGTTGTTAATCAATTAGTTGCATTTTAAGACATACTGCATTAATATCCATTTCAGCAGATAAGTGAAATATTACCCTAAAGGAGTTCAGCACTCATTTAAAGCATGTTCATAGCTGCAAAAGCAGTAATACTACAGAAAAAATGGGGGAAAGTGAAATATGACCAGATGAAACCAAATAAGGGTCAAGAACCAGTAACTGACTTGCACGCTCTTGATAAGTGGCCAATGCTGATCAAAATGTAAACCTGGAAAAAAATAATTCCCAAGAGCCGTGGAGAGGAAATATGCCTTCATAATGTTTTTGTTGGAGAAAAACAGTGTTCAGCCTTCTGTATGACATCCAGAAATCAAAAGGCATCCATGTAGTTCTTGGGTATTATCAAGTTTTTATCCAAGGCTAAGAATTGTCCTGTTTGGCCTATGTACCTGAAACAACAATGTTGTTGACAGATGGTGGCAATTATCAGTGTAAGTTCTATCTAGATCAGGGGTGTCACGTGATGTATCGGGACTTTTCCCCCCTTCACTAAACCGGACGTGGACGTGGCCAGCACGTGACGCATCTGGCCCGTGGGCCAGGAGTTTGGCAGCCCAATCTAGATCATACCAAAATTGCAATACATTTATTGTTGTGTTAGATGACCCTTTTAGACTACTCTCAGCTTGTTCCACTACCTAATACACACCATTACAAACATACATTTAGACTTTCTTTTGAATGTTAAAAATAAAAAAGTTATGGAAACTGGAAGCTTTGGCCATGAATCTTAAGCAAAGACTGTACTTATAATCACCCAGTTAACAGATTAGTGACCTGCCAGCTTGCCAATTAGGATCCCATTAGAGCAGGAAAGGGTAGGCGTCATCCCCATGTACTGTAAGCATCCTTAATGCCATTCCAGCTATGTGGGAGGGAAGGTATATTTATACTTTAGTTTCTCTGCCTTGCCAAAACAGTGGCAATGAATGTTTCATATATATTTCCAATATGCCTCTGTCAGCTTGTAATGCCAAACCATGATGATCTGTCTTCTGTGTAGTTCTGCTAAGAAATGCTGGTGCTAGTGATTGGAAATGACTTCCTTTGGAAGATATGCCATCATGCCTAGATTTCATATGCAATTGCCAAACATGCAAAGCATGTCTTTAAGGAAGCAACCATGTGATTGACCTGCTGTCAGGATTCCAGCAATCGCTCTAGTTAAATCATGATTCTGGAGCCAAATTTCAAAAAACTTCAAAGGATTCATTAGAGGCGACATACTGGTACTGCCCTGTATTGAAGCCAATTCTGGCATACGTAATTTACAGTCTCCTGTGACCCTGTTTCCCCCCTCCCCTCCGGGTGTCTCACAAACCAGATTCTCCAATTGACCGCATTCACAGGCTGGGTGTCATCATTCAACGTTCTCCAATTAAATATATTCGGGGACCAAACTCTGGTATTTTAGTTGCAATCTTTTAAAGATAAGATTTGGAATGTACTTTTTCTTTCAACTGCTCTTCCAGATTTCCTCCCCCCCCCTTTTTTTTTAAATGGCAACTACTAAAACAGGCATAGAAATGTTTTATGAGTTGACACCTTATTCAAAGGGTACCCTAAATTATTTCTTTGTCTCCTATTAGCCCCTCACGGAGTCCTACATTAATACATCCAATCATCTGCTGTTGAATAACAGTCACTACATCTATTGCCAAGGACTTGGTTTTATTCATGGAAACTCACAGCAGGAAGGAATCTTGGTGGGCATCTACCCTAACTTGTTCATTGAAGAATCTAAGTACAGGTAGTCCTCGGCTTATAGTTCATTTAGTGACCGTTCAAAGTTACAACAGCAATGAATATTTTTTTCACACTTAAGACTTTTGCAGCATCCCCATCATCATGTGATCCAATTTCAAACGCTTGGTAGATGTTTCATACTTATGACCATTGCTATGTCCGAAGGTCACCTTCTGAGAAGCAAAGTCAATGGGGAAGCCAGATTCACTTAACAACCAGGTTATTAACTTATCAACTGCAGTGATTCACTAAACAACTGCGGGGAATGAGGTGATAAAATGAGGCAAAACTCACTTAACAAATGTCTCACTTAACAACATAAATTTTGGGCTCAATTGTGGTCGTACGTTGAGGATCACCTGTATTAGGGTTGGGTGGAGATCTATAGTATTGCTTAGACAGGACTGTTTCCGCCTCAGCTTTAACACCTTCAAAAATTATCATATTCATCGTAAAACAACTCCCAGGTTTCAATCCAATCCAATCTTACTCAGCAATCCTGCAATTGTTATCCACTGTTATACTTCTGCATGCTTCAAAGTCTGCTCTATCTTCTGTGTGATAGCTAGGTAATGGTAGCAAGCACAAATCCCTTTAATTTTTCTCTTCTCCAGGCAAAACTGTTCTTTCATCTCTCCCTCATGGTACGGGGGATTTTAGAGCAGACATCTCCAACCTTAGCAACGTTAAGACTTGTGGACTTCAACTCCCAGAATTCCTCAGCCAGCTTTGCTGGCTGAGAAATTCTGGGAGTTGAAGTCCACAAGTCTTAACGTTGCTAAGGTTGGAAACTCCTGCTTCAGAGTATTCACTTTCCTGGTAATTTTTTTTTCTGAACTGTGTCTAATTTCTTTTCTTAAAATTATGGCACTCACAGATGAATACAGTCTTTCAGTCAGTTTGACCAATGCAGAATAGAAATAATTTTGCAATCCAGGATCAGAAAGCATAAATGCTGTAGGGTCTGCAAGCCAGGGGTTGGATTCAGCCAGTGTTACTACCGGTTTGGTGACTATGTTTTTACACGCTGCGCGTGGGTGTAAAAAACCTTAAGCTGTGCTGCTTTTTTTTTTTAGAAAAAAGCCACTTTTTTTCAACCTCAGCTGTGCTGCACAAAGCAGCTGAGGTTGAAAAAGCAGGAAATAAAGGACAGGTAAGAGCCTGGGCAGGCGGGTAGGCCACACAGCAGCAAACACAGAACCGGTTCAGTGTCTGCTGCTCTTCAGAGCTACTGGTTCTATAGAGCCAGGTAGAACTGGTACCATCCCACGCCTGTTGCAAGCTCTTCCAACCTCCAAACTATGATCAACCCAGGGCTAGGATCCAACCGATGTAACTACTGGTTTAGTGATTTTACGTTTTACATAGAACCGGTTCTATGTATGTCTGCTGCTCTTCAGATCTACCAGTTCTACAGAGGTGGATAGAACCGGTAGAATCTCACCCCTGGATCAAGCCCCCCCACATTACCATGGCTGAAGTCTCAAATGATTCTGCAGGATTCTCAAAAGTCAATAATTGATTAGCAGTAGAATCCTTCTCCTCTACATTTCAAACTTTAGAATTTCCTTTGAATTCAGCTACCAGCACCTTTCTGACTGGACACCCATATTTGTTGACTTTTACCTGACTGGAGGGTCAATTGTTCTCTAAAAATCTTGCATCATAATCATAAACCTCACATTACTCCTATTTTGGTGTCTGTCTCATGTTCCCAGGATCAGAAACAGCCTTGTCCTTATTTTCATGAACAATCTTATTCGTTCATTTGCCACAGATTTGCATTTACCTTTCACACCCAGAAATAAAGCTTTATAGACACCTGTTAAGCATCCATTAGAATCCAAAGCCTGGATTCTCTACTTATATTTCTGATATTTTGCAATGAGTCATGTCTTAAGGTCAAGTTATTAGTTTTGAGCCAACAGTTGTAGTGGTCAAGTGGGGAATTTAGAGGTTTACAGCCAAGATATAAAGCCATGCATATCCAAGTTAGTTATTTTTAGGTCTGTCTATCTTTACATACTTCTAATATTCCACCTGTTCCCCAAGGGCCCAGATGGTTTACACAGCATACATTTCTCTATTGTTTTCTCAACAATAACCCTATGAGTTAGGTTGGGTTGAAAAAGATTCAATTGAATTTCTAGCTGAAAGAGTCCTGAAGGAACCAAGAATGACAAGAGGAATTACTCCAGGGACATCTCCTTATTGTTGTTCACCTAAAGCAGTAATGGCGAACCTTTTTGGCACCGAGTGCACAAACTGAAACTCGCAGAAACCTGAAGTGCCAGAAACCCGAAGACCAGCTGGCTAGTGCATGCATGCCTGGTTTTTGCCAATTTTGGGAGCCATTTTCTGGCCATTTGGGGGGCTGTTTTCAGACCGTTTTGCCCCCAAATGGCTTGGAAAATAGCTGGAAAATAGCCCAAAAATGGCTTGAAAAATTGCCTGGGTTTTTTGGCCATTTTTCTGGTGCTCTGGTGCCCATGAAGATCAACTGGCCAACGCACATGCCGACAGAGACATATCTGCGTGCCACCTCTGGTACGCATGCCATAAGTTTGCTATCACGGTCCTATAGGCATGAATCTTGTCAGACTAAAGCAGAAATCTGCATAACTACTAGATATATTGTGAAAGGTTAGGTAAGGTCCACCCTGTCTCTCTTCCTGCATACCAAAGGTTGCACGCTGAGCTGCCTCTTTGCTCTTTGGGAAAGACCCCCTCTGTGATAAACGCCCCCCAAAAGTAATTTCTACATATAACACCCTCCCTTTGGTGATTCTGTACCACACCTCACCACAGGAGGTGATCTTTAACTTGGATTGCCCAGATCCTACTCCAACACTTCCATCACAAGGTTGACTCAGCCTTCCATCCTTCCAAGGTTGGTAAAATGAGGACCCAGATTGTTGGGGGAAATATACTGACTCTGAAAGCTGCTTAGAGAGGGCTGTAAAGCACTGTGAAGTGGTATATAAGTCTAAGTGGTATATAAGCCTCCACTTAGAGTCAAACAACCTACTCTCCAAAAAACAATTTGGTTTCAGGAAAAAAATGTCCTGCAACCTACAACTTCTACACTGCAAAAACATATGGACTACTCTACTCAACCAGGGTAAAGCAATAGATGCAATTTACATAGACTTCTGCAAAGCCTTTGATTCAGTGGTACATGACAAACTACTGTTAAAACTAAACTTGTACAGCATTTCCAGATCCCTTCATAAGTGTATTACTGCATTCCTGTCAAGCAGGCAATAAATAGTAAAAATAGGGAGCACTATATCAAACCCTGCTCCAGTCAACAGTGGTGTCCCCCAAGGCAGCATTTTAGACCCACACTCTTTATACTCTATATAAATGACCTTTGCAATCACCTTATAAGCAACTGCATCCTCTTCGCGGATGATGTAAAACTATTCAACACCACCGACAATGCTATTATTCTTCAAAGTGACCTTGATTATGTGTCTGAATGGTCAAGCATTTGGCAACTCCAAATCTCAACTAACAAATGCTCTGTCCTACACATTGGTAAAAAAAAATCAGTTCACCAAATACAAGCTAAGCGGATATGACCTCATTGATGACCCTCACTCTGTCAAGAACCTCGGAGTACTCATATCTAATGATCTAAGCACTAGAGCTCACTGTAACAGCATTGCAAAAAGGCATTAAGAGTTGTAAATCTAATCATACAAAGCTTCTCCTCTGGAAATATTGTATTGCTAACTAGGGCATTCAAAACCTTTGCTAGACCAATACTCAAATACAGCTCATCTATCTGGAATCTGCACTGTATATTGGACATTAATACAATTGAGCGAGTCCAGAAGTATTTCACAAGAAGAGTACTACACTCCTCTGCTCGCAACAGAATACCCTATACCACCAGGCTTGAAATTTTGGGCTTGGACAATCTTGAACTATGCCACCTATGGTTGGACTTAAGTGTAGTACATAAAATTGTCTGCTACAATGTCCTACCAGTCAATGACTACTTCAGCTTCAAGCGCAACAATACAAGAGCACACAACAGATACAAACTCAATGTTAACTGCTCCAAACTTGATTGCATAAAATACTACTTCAGCAACAGCGTGGTCAATGCCTGGAATGCACTACCTGACTCTGTTGTTACATCCTCAAACCCCCACTCCTTTACCTCAAACTAACCATTACTGACCTCACCCCATTTCTAAGAGGTCTATAAGGGGCGTGCATAAGTACACTGTCATGCCTCCCATCCCTGCCCTATTGTCCCCATTTATTTGTACCTATTTCCTGGATTCTTACTCATATTTATACTTATACCTATTATCTTGTAAGTGATTGACAAATCAAATCAAATCAAATCAAATAAAAATAAATAAATAAATAAGTGCTATTGCTATTGCTATCCAAAGCAAATTCTACCAACAGAACTTGGATTATGTTTGACAGCTTCACTAATGTATTTCACCTTTGCTTTTTCCTTCTGATCACAGTGGCTATTTGTAGTTATTAGAAAGTTTAGTGTTTACATTCAAATGCCTTAAAATGTGAGTTGGCATTTGTCCTTGGGGACTCTTTTTTTAGTGTAAAGCCCAGTTTGGTTCTTTGATGAGTAACATCTTTAGGGGAAGGCATGAAGGAAAGACATTATAACATGTTTATTTGAGAGGTCAGATCATCATTTATTATGGGAAGGGGTGTGCATTTTGAATACCAGGAAGGTAGAGTGCATAAACTCAAGCTTATTTTCTTGCATTCTGAAACCACATGCTAAGGCCATATTGCTGCCATATGTTGCTACCGGATGACAACTGCTATCAAATGCAGCTACCAATAACCTGCCACTCTGTTTATTTCTACATTCTTTTTTTTTTTTTTTAGAAAAAAACCTAGCTTGTATAGACAGTAATTCAAAGGAAAATGGCCGCATTTTTAAAAGGCATTCCAAAATATCTTATATCCACAACTCTTGTAATGATGCCCAGAGGTGTAAAGTTTATCTGTCTAAGAGTAAAACCACATTCTCACTCTTTGGGCTGGGTTGGCATTTATTCTCCTCCCTAAATTAAACTACAAACAAAAGGGACCAATTTACACTTCCAGGAATTCTGTTATTAGCATTTCATTCACAGCTGCTAGAAAGGTGTCATACATAATGCATGAATGAAGGAGCTCCAGTGATTCTGGTGAACATGTTCATTTAAAAGAAAGCTAGCTTTATTTCAACCAAAAAACTAAATTAAATTCACTGAAAATTCTGGTTACTGGCAATCACTTCTAGAAATAGCAATAGCAATAGCACTTAAGACTCATATACCATTTGACAGTGCTTTACAGCCCTAAGAGGTTTACAGAGTCATCATATTGCCCCCAACAATCTGGGTCCTCATTTTACTGACCCTGGAAGGATGGAAAGCTGAGTCAACCTTGACAGTTCTCACTAGACTTCTTCTGTGTGATTACTGAGTCCTGTCTGATAGAATAACCTAAAATGTACCATTGTTCTTGCATCATACACCCTCCCCCCTACCCCGAAATTATATCACAGCAGAGAAATTGTTGTGCTTGTGATTTTCAAAATCCAGATCAAAAACATTTGATGAAAAATATAATTCTATTCTACAAGCACGCCTAGATGTCAATTAATACAGTGTTTAAAAATCATTGCATATATATAACTTTTAAAAAGCTCATAACTATAGACAAATTGTATCATTTATAGACAGAAAAGCTTGGAAAGATACAGATGTTTTTCCCTGCACATGATGTAGTATTCTACCATGCAGTCAAATTTAGACTGAATTTGATCTTAATATTAGTTTCCCTCCTCAATATCTTTTCTTTGTTTCTAACTCTACCTCCATATATGCACACATTTATGATTATATAGATCTTCTCCTCCACCCCCACCTCCCTCCCTCCCTCTCTCTCTCACACACACACACATACACACACACAGAGCCATACATCAGTGAGCTTCTTCTAATCATATTGAATGTGGTTATTTAGTTTTAAAGAACACAGGCACTGTTTCAAATCACTTTTTCAAATGCTTTTGGTAAATGGAACTTCTCCCATGAAAGAGACAAAATGGTATACCAACTGAAATATGCATTTCTTTTATTTGTGTATTATTATTTCTTACATAGACAAAATCATTCTGCTAATTTTCTAAATTATTAAAAACACTATTGAGGAAGTTAATATACATAACTGGATACCAATGATTCACTACTAGTAGCAATAATATCATTAGCTTGCTATATCCCTGATATCTATATATCATAATCTTTTTATTTAATATCCTACCATTTATTCTGTAACAAGTTGCTGTTTTTAACTGAAGCAACTTATCAGTAAATGGAAAATGTTTCCCTTTTTTTTGATCCTCTATCTTACAGTGGTTATATTGTTTGTTTTTCTTTAGTATAATCTATTGCTTATCTTTCATTAGTCATTTATTCACCGTCCCATTTCAGAACTGTGTCTCTCCTTCACTGTAGGATCATCTTCTGTATGCCGAATGTGAAAATTAAAGATTAAAATAACAGTAAAAAGGATTGTACACAGCATGGTGCTCTCCGTCTTTACCGTAAGCTTTGACAACATTTCCATGTCATCCTTGCAGACTGGAATTTACCATTTATTCAGGCTTCATTCCTAGATACATTTACTCCTACACAGCTGGCAAGAGTCTTGCTTCTGGCTTGCTTCATATATTCTGTACACAACATTTCTCCGGTCTAGAATCCTCCAAAAGGTTTCAGACTACAATACCCAGAATTGACAGGAAATACTATTGAGTACAAGTTGGAAGAAAGTTTGGGTGAGAGTTGGATTTTCCATTTATTGTTCCATGTAAGTTTGGAAAAAATAGATCTGGGGGAAAATATTACTGAATAAGGTAGGAACAAGATGATCCTACAAGATCTTCAGTTTGTAATACTACATGGCAAATCCTGTTGCATGGATATAAATAGGCATAACTCCTGGGGCACTTTATTTCTCCCCCTCCCCTGCAATTCATAAACAAAAGGCCCCATAATTCAGTGTCCCCATAATTGTTTTCTTTTTAGGTCTGCATATATCTTAAGTGCCAAAGTTGGTCCTTAGAATATTTCAGTTGTATATTCATAATTTCCAATACAATTTCAATTTTTATTATTATTAGCCTATATTTTTTTCTTTATTTCACAATAGCCAGCAATCTCCCCAGTGAATATGTTTTTTCTTTTCTTTATAAGCCTGTTTCAACATCCAATACATCCATATACTTGAATATGGGGTCTTTTTAAGGAGACAAACGGGAATGGAACTACCTAAAGCATAGCTCCATATTAGAAACGTTTGGGTTGGTATTTTTTATTCAAGATGGGGAAATTGAACAGTTGAAACATAATACCAAAGACAATTTCAGGATTTTTATTTTTCTTCATATACTCTCATTTACAGGGCTGGTGACTTTAACAGATAGAAAGCCATGGATTTAGGGTTCAGTGAGAGGAAAATGGTGGGGACATTCAAGTGGACGTTCTTTCCTCAGGCGTCTAAAACTTTTAGAAGAGCCCGAGCTGGATCGCTACTATGCTGATAGGAAGGGAAAGTACCACAGAGCCCTCTGCAAACTCAAAGATTTACTGAACTTTGAGCCATAGTAATCACATTCTCTCTTTTTCATCAATTAAATTCTCTCATATTGTGTGGATAAGGAAAAACACAGTGCTGTGATCAGCTGCTTCCCAGCCAAAACAGTATGAAACAGACCAATGATCTATTTCACTCCTAAGCTCCACTTGAGATGTGCCAGCTGCTGACTTGCAAATGCTTAAGGGAAAAACAACATCACAGGGCCCAGTTGTTGGGCTGTCTTTAAATTCAAGGAAGAATTTTGAACAAAAGGATACTTGGGTAAACACTCATTTGACCCTGGCCAAATGAGGAAAATACCACAAATTTCTATGGGAAAGAAAAAGGATTTGGAAAGGATAAAATATTTACTGGTTATTTTGCTTTGCCTGTGCCATCATTGTTGATAGCCTCCTTCCCAGGAAGTGTTGAAATTTCCACTACTGATATTGACCCAACCACTGAAATTAAATTATCTTTCCCCAAACATTCCAATTTGGGCTTTGGCAAAAAGAAAAGACCTGAAAGCCTGAACTAAACTGAAATATACTTTTTTTTTTTTTTTTTAGAAAAGAGGGGTATATAAGATAGGACCCCCTGATAGGTAAAAAAAAAAAAAAACCTTGGACTTTTGTAACCATTTTTTAAAAGAGCAACTTTAAAAAGCAACTTTTATCCTTTATAGAAATTGCTGAAAACAAATGGCATTAAATGTGTATTTGTATCTCTGTGTGTAAGCATGCATGAGTGCTCCTTCAAGTCATTCTTGACTTTTAGAGATTGCCTGGACAAGTCCCTGCAATTTTCTTGGCAGAATTTTCCAAAGTGGTTTGCTATGGCCTTCTTCCTAGAACTGAGTGAGTGATTGGCCCAAAGTCACTCAGCTGGCTTCATGCCTAAGGTGGGACTAAATGTCCTTGCCTCTTTGTTTCTACTGTGGTGCTTTGAACCATTACAGCAAACTGGTACTCATGAAATCTTTCAGTTCATTTGATTACAAGACTAGAATCTCTAAGTACAGTAAAGTAGAACCTGCTAAAAAAAAGTCCATGGATCTGGACTTCTTTTAACATCTGGTCAATTTTATCACTTGGAATGTTCAGTCATTTATAGCATGTAGTTTGACTCACCTGCTTAAACTACTGGAACTATTTTTTCTACAATCAAATTTTAGATATTTGAGGTATGAGGGAAAATTGAATTGTGACAGAGCTGAGTTCTCATGGGCGCACATCCAGCTGGTTGACCTTACCCCTAGGAAGGAAATAGTGGCAAATAATTTCTTAAAAAACCTTGCCAAGAAAACTGAAGTAGTCTGCCAGGGTAGCAGCCTGGAGTCAACACTGACTCAAATAAACACACACACACACACAAATCTTGAAAGTGGAAATCTACCCAGAGGGAATACACAGGGATAGGCAAAATTGTTAGAAGGAGAGACCAAACTCAGATGTTCTTTGCTGGTGTGCTTGGGAACAAAGACAGAGAGAAATGACTTCCAATGAGTAATCTCTTAGGCAAAGAGCAAGTGAAGGGACAGATAGAAAAGGAGCACAGTTCAAACCCTTGATACTCATTCTACGCTGTACTACTCTCTTAGATTCAGTAGCTCATGAAGTTGGTTTTGGACCTCCAATACTGCTTTATTACAGTGGCTATGTTTTTGTTTCCTCCTTCCTGGGAAGAGATAATCCCACAATTGAACTCCATAAAAATCTATCTATCAAATAAGCTAGCCAGCCTAAAACAAATAAATGATTTCCTGGGATATGATGGCCTGGTTTACCTTTGTTGAAAAAAGAATGGCAAAAGATGACACTCTCAACAAAGAATGAAGCCCACAGCTTTTTTTTTTTTAAAGAAACATTTTGTGTCTGCTTTCTTTCTTTCTCTTTTACACCCACAGAGAGAGTAGGAGGTACAGCAACAGTAAAAGGGAATCTGAAATGTCTAGAGAGCCAAAGGAGGTAAAGTTCACACAAAAATAGTTAAGTACCAAGAGATTCTTCACACAACATTAGTATTAGCAGCTAATACTGTTTAAAAAAGAAAATCACCTCACTACTTGATCAATATAATGCTGAAAATGAAAATTATCAGTAATCAAAAGGGTTCATAATATACATGAATCCTACATATATATTAAGGAAATATGATTATGCTTTAGGCATTACAGTGATTGGGCATAGCGAGGAAACTGGGACCACACTATCTAGCCCCTGTTCCTGTCTTTGATGGTATAATTTTGGCAAATGATGCACTTCTCCTTTTCTCTGTTCATTTCCAAACAAAGTCAACATCCAGGCTATTTGAGGAACTGTCATCCCAATTTCATTGACCCATCGGGCAGTAAAGGAGGACGTATTTCTGACCCTTGTGGGTTAAAGATTTTTGATTGGTGAGGTCTTCTAGGAAGAGAGCCTTCTCTGACATTGCTCCTGCCCTATGAAACAACTTCCCTCCGCTCCTGGCCTTCCAGAAGTGCAATAAGACCTGGCTCTACCAAATGGCCTGGGGTTCTAATCGTGACATGTAGCCTTGGTGTGCTTGATAGTTGGAAGTGCTCCCTCTGCCTTTTAACTCTGCAATTGTTCCTTTTTGTTTTAATTTGATTTTTAGCTTGAAATTAACGAAAGCTTTTGTATCATTTTAATGTGTGTTCTATAAACCAGGCAGAGACATGCAAGCGTGTTGGGTGGTAGAACATCAAGATAAAGCAAACATTCAATACATATGAAAACTGATTAAAAATTACACAAATTAAAACAAACCAAAAGCAAGGGTTTGGAGGGGAGAGGTGGGTACCTTCTCTATTAGTGCACCAACCACTTCCAGCCAATAGCTTCTCCTTCATAAGTACCACATAGCCAGGTTTTAAGGCCTTTCCTAAAGGTTAATAGAGAGGGAGTGGATCTCAGCTCCTGTTGCAAGATGTTCCAAAGGGCAGGACCTATGGGGGGAAAAAGCTCTTGTCCTGGATCCCACCAGGTAAAATCCCTTTGTTGATGGGATCCAGAGTAGACCCCTTCTGCCAGCACAAATGGGTCAAGCAAATTGCATTGGGGAAAGACAGTTCCACAGATAGAATAGGAAAAGAATTTCTGGAAAAGTGGACAGTCTAAATGCATCTTTTTAAATATTAGCCTAAAGACGAAAACAATATTGCAGATTATCATGATTTTAGGAAACATTATCTTAGCTCAGGTTAACATGAAAGGCAAGAATACTTCCCAGCCTACCTACATCTTCCCCTCAGGTCCTAAAGAAAGAAGGTTGCATACAATCCTTAGGCTTGTTGCTATAACACCAAGAACCACAGCTTTGAATTATGCTGAAACTGAGCCCAGGGATGGAGATTTTCCTTTGGATTGTGATTTAATGTGAACAAATCCACACTTCCTAAACCGAAGCATGAATTGTAATGCAATTTTCCATTTATATTTATCCTTTTCCAAATTTGGTCATGCTATTTTCCATTTTTCTAAAAAGTCATATAAAATCTATACCAAATACATATAATAGAAAAAATGCATGTACACATTAGAAAAAGCATGCATAAAATGTATGCTACATTTTATATGGACATTTTTTGTGAGAGACTGCTGCAGAAACAGGAAAGAACAAACTAAAGTTTGGAAAAATAAGAACTGAGTGAAATTGAACTTGACAGATTAGTTCTTCTCTACTAATGGCACTTTCCTCCCTTCCCTATTATGCATCTTTAGCAAATTACCCAAAGCAGACAACTCCTCTTATTTTTTGGATTTGACACTGCAAATGTTGTAGTCATAGGTATTAGATCAAAATAATGATGGCCTGGTTATAATTTGGTCAGAAAAGGGAAGCAATATCCTCACAGCAGATTATTCTCAGCTGCAAGGTAAACACCCATTCTTTGAGAAAAGCCATTTCCAAAGAACCAAACGAAAACTAATCACAACTGGGATGCCAACACATTTTAATTTGGGCTTCCTTAGCCTGGTGTCTTCTTAATGTATTGTAAGGTGACCAACCGTCCTCCTTTAGGGAGGACAGTCCTTCTTTTGTAAGTTCTGTCCTCTCTCGAAAAGTGTCCTCCTACATGTCCTCCTTTTTGATATTTGAAGACTAATCTGTAAATCTCCGTATTTGATCGATGCTGATCCGATCCGTTGTGTGTGGTGTGACGTATTTGTATTTGACATGATGATTCATCAAGGCTCGGTACAATGTGGTGAGATGCAGTTATGAGATGCATGCACTCCACACAGGAGAATTGTTTTGAGAGAGTACGCCGCGCGCAAGAGTGTACCACACGCAAGAGTGCGCCATGCACAAGTGGCTTGGTTTTTTTCCTTCAATTTATCTGTGTCCTCCTTCTCATTGTAAAAAAGTTGGTCACCTTATGTATTGGGACTGGAAGATCCAGAATCCCCAGCCAGCATACCATCTAGGAATTCAGAGATCTGCAGCCCCAATACATCAGAAGGACACATGGATAGGGAAAGCTAACCTAAACAAAAGCAACCATCTTTTTCACCCTGACAATCCTGTTGATGAAGCATTCCTAGTTTATTAAGAATTTAAATAAATACCTGGAGAAATACCACAGTTCCAGGCTGAAAGGGGGAAAGCATTAAAAAAAACTGAACAAAAAATGTAAGGTATGATTTGTAATGGGAATGAAAACATTTGTGTCTTCTCATGAAGATTGTTTTGTCAAAATGCATTGGGAATTTGGTTGAATCGGTAATGCAGAAAGGCTGAGATGAGAGACGCTGTGCAGGCAAAGAAAGCCAGAGGCCAGCTGGAAAAGGTTCTTCAGGATCACATTGTCACTGGAAAGAGAAAGCTTCTCACACACCAATGCCTCATATTTCATTTCCTGGGAATGTTGACAGCAACACATATTTAGGAAAAGAAGTTCCATAACCCTGAAATACTCAGAGCTGATTCTAAAGAGGAGAGCTGTAAAAATCCAGGACAAAAAAAGTAGGAGGAAAAATAAGAAGCTTTCATGCTCAAGTAAAGGGCTGCCATAGTGTTTTGTCACCTAATCGTAATCTAGAGCAGCTGAGATATTGCATTCAACTTCTGTGTAGATTAGGAAAGTGCAAGTCATCAAACGTTCGTGGTTTCCATGAAGTTTAGTGGGGAAAGTGTAAAGAATCACAACTAGGAAGATTCTGTGGATCTACTATGTTCCAGAGCTGGAGTCCCCAAAGACTCTAGTAGTGCTGAACATTCCCTTTCTCCCCTCCCCAAAAAAGTCAATAGCTGCCATCCATGCCTATGGAAAAAGGAATCCCAGCATTCCATTCCAATTGAAGCCAAATATGCTAAGGGATGTAGGAAGCATTAATCACATAGAGAATAGAAGAGGAACCCATGTTGTCAATGAATGGAAAATAATATACTTACATAGTCATTCCCTGAATGAAATCCTTTCCCTATGCTTATATATGCATACTAACACTGATCTATCATCCATCTATCCGTCATCTACAAAATTCCTTTAGGCATCAATCCATTGGTCTAAGCTGGCAGTGCTAGAAAAGGGATCCTGGAGTCTCATGATGGGCAGCTTGAGGAAAAGGTCAACCAGGGAGCAGCTGCTATAAAAAGAGAAATTCTATTCCTAGAAATGTTAGGAAGGAAACTGAAAATAGAACTGCCCATATAATAACGCCCTCATACAAACCTAACCTGTCACCCTCAAGGAGCTGTGTACCGTTTTAGTGCCTCCACATTAAGACAGATGTGAGAAGTCAAAAAAGGTGGAGAAAGAAAAGTAGGGGCAACCCATTCAGGAAAATCTATTAGAAGGCTTTTCGGTTTCAAACAAAGGAAAATAAAAAGAGTCAGGAATCTCCATAGGTATGGTCAAAAACTCAAGATGATGGCTGCAATAGTAGGCATCAACACCACATCCTCCCTGTTTTATATGCCACACATAAAAAAAACCGGAAAGACCGTTAATCACACCATTGTGGCCACTCTTTTTTTTTTTTAAATATCATGCCCTGCCACATATGGTAGAGATATATAAAATATATACGCAGAAAAAGGACGATAACTTTTTCTCCATCTTTCACAATTTCAAAAGGCCATCTGCCAAAAACCCAATGCAGGAGATTAGGGATTGATGGAAGGAAGTACTTCTTCACAAGGCATATAATTAAACTGTGGAATTTGCCATTTTATTCATAGTAGCCATTCTGAATTGTTTCAAAAGGAGACTGGGCAGAGTCACAGAGAACAGGCTATAAAAGGCAACAAACACCGATGGCATCTTCAGTCATAAGTAGCATACCTTAAATATTGGCTTCTGGGAACAACTGGTATGTGGGAGATAATGTGGAAGCTACTATCTTCCATTCCTGGTTTCCCAAAATGCTTGTAGCCACTGCATGATTCAAAATGCTGGACTAAGACAACTTACAGTCTAATTCAGCAGAGATATTATATTCTTATGACCAACCACATGTTATTTATATTTCAAGTCTTCAAACATTTATTTGTGTTTCTTTTGGTTATCAGGAAGTCTAGAACCCACTTTAATTTATTTTACTTATTCCATACAGATCAATAACTAGAGCTTTCCTAAGCAGTGTTTGACAATTAAAACTTATTAGAAGAAAAGTAAAACATCAGAAAAAACTACATACACCACCATATATGGCAGTACAAAGATATCAGAAGCAGCTATAATAACATCAATAAATGCAACAATTATAAGAAAGTAACAACAAAGCAGGTTTCTAAAATACCAAAGTGACCTTACAACACATTAAAGAAACATACCTTATAAATTGAATTCACAAATGTGACAAGTGACACAAGAACCCACAACTTCTTCAATTCGTGAAAAACTACAAAGCCTCTGTGGTATATTTTCAAGATTTGGCACATTTATTTTGGCATGAATTGCCTTTTTCATTTCTAAAAGAACTTCTTTGTCAGAGTTCATTTCTGTCAGTTCATAGTTTTCATTATAAAAAGAAGAAGAGGCAGAGAAGAATACTGATCTTTCTTTAAAAGCAATAGCCAAAATGGAACACTTTTTCCATTCGGCAGCTCATTGTCTCATGTGATTAGTTTTCTGTTTTTACACTGGAGGCAGTTGGGTGCAAATTTATTATCAGTTTTGCCCAAATATGATTCCTTCTGAAAGGTCAGGATTCAATCTCCTTTCCAAAAAGAGAACCTCATCTGAAGTCAGTTTTCCCAAAGCCAAATTACTAAGATTCTAGTGATGTCTTCCAGGTATAGTGGGACTTCAATTCCTGACATTTCCAGAGATAAATTCCTAAGAGTGTTGTTTCCCAGCTCAGCAGAATTTGCAATGATGCCATAATGCACATTACAAGAAGAATTGTGACTCTGTAGAATAGTTGAAGCATGAAATTTGAAAGAATTTGTTACACCAGTTTGATTCTATTAGGTAATTATACAATCACACAAAGTACAGATTAATTTAAAAAGCAAGTACCACATATAAATTATTAATAAAAATCCACACGCTGAATCGATTCAGCGCTTCCATTTATTCTAGATATATTTGTGTACTAATTGAAAGAGGATAGATTTCACAGTCTTGACTCAGAATAAAAGTTGGAGAAAAGTGTGATGTCAGAAACTCCAGCTTTACATGGATAAAATTTATCCTGAAGCAGAATTCTCAAGATTTTGCAGGCCATGTGTTAATAGTTTCTCAAAAAGTTCACTGTAACTTGAGTACCAATTAATTGTCTGTCTTCTTCTCACCTTAAAATATGTTGCCAAAACTTCAGTACAAACCTTCATGTTACAGCAGATTCCCCAATGATGCCTCTGTGTCCTTCTTTCTTCCAGAAACCCATCACCTCATCCAGTGTTTACAAGAGGGATGGAGCACCATGGCCATTCATGGGAGTCCACGGGAAAGGATTCAGGTGACAATGTCATGCAAATTACATAAATTGTATAATTTGCGTCAGTCATGTCCCTTTTGCAAGTTGGAGTTTAGCAACATTCCACACATGTTTCTTGACCTCTGACATGCCAAAAGACAACATCTTTCACAGCTGTGAAACAACATATTTCCTTACACTCTTTGCTGAAGCTCCTCCCATTCTTTTTCTCAACTCCCAATCCCTTAAGTGAAATTTTTTGGAGGCCAAGTCAATGCATTGGAAGTGAGTCTCACAGAGTTAGTGGCTTTCTAATAAATTCTGGCTTAGATCCTCTCTCATCCATGACTGTCTTTCAACCCTGTACACTCTTGGAAAACAAAACCAGTAGCCCTGCCTTCACTAGGCTAGTAACCCAATTCTTTAGAAGGCAAAGAACCGGCACTCTTATAAACACTAGTAAATCAATTCCTCATTGATAAAATAGAAGCAAACCATTCAATATTGTTAGTTTAGAATGTTTTCTTTCATTAAATAAAATGCTGAGTAAAGGGGGAGCTGGGAAAAGACATGAGTGGATATTAGAACTAACAGAAGGATAAATCACACCAGCAGCACTTGTAAAAGCTGAGGTACAAACCAGAGATTCAAAGAGTACAGGGGCGGAGGTGGTGGTGAACTGTTCTGCATTAAATTATTTTAACTTTCATGTGGAACTGCTACAAAAAGTATAAACAGTTGCAGTTTTTCGGGACTCTGTAAATTTATATCCCAACCTCTGAACATCAAAGTGATAAATTACTCTCTAAACTTAAGCCCAGTTCTTACTCAAGCAAGACTCTCATTATAGCTAAAGAAAAAAAAAAGTTTTTCCTCTGAAAAAAAAAAGCAAAAAAAGAAAAAGAAAAAGACATAATTGGCTCTTTTATATGTATTAAAGATCAGTTATGCAATCTAGACTCTAGAAAGGTACACTAATAATCCTCAGAATAAACTACTTTCTCACGTAATCCTAATTTTACTTTCAACCTCTGAATGCCCAAAAATTGGAGTTGCAGAACGAGAAGAAACAATGGCAATTGAAATCAGAAGGCCACTTCATCAGCAATTTAATCACACAAACACTCCTTCTTAACATTACTACTGTATCCAATCATATGCATTTGATTCTAAGTGTCTGAGAATGCAAGTTATAGTGGGC